AAACTTGACAACAATGGAACTGAGCAATCAAAAATAACAGATTTTTATGAAAGTTCAAAGCTTTCTCTAGCAAGAAGTTATGAAATTGATCGAGCATGTATGAAATCTTTTGTTGTATGTAATATACTATGACACACTATCGAAAATTTATTTTTTATTGAACTTTTAAAAATATTACATTTAGAATATACACCTTCGTCTAAAGAAAAACTATCTGGTAAACTTTTTGTTGAAAAAGTAGCTATTGTAAATAATCAGATTATTAAAGAGTTGAAAAATTCTTCAAATTTAACATTATGTAAGTAATAGGATTATTTTGTTTATTATTTAACATAAACTTACTATTTTTTTATTCTTTTTAAAATATAAAGCATGTGATAGATAGACTAATCTAGCAAATGAATCTATTTAAAATTTTCTTATTCATACACCTACTCATAAAAAATATTTATAGTATTTAAAAAACATGTCAGATAAATCTCATACTAGTCTTTTCTTAACAAATAAAATAGAAGAAGTAATTAAAAAAATAGAATCTGAAAAATTTTCAGTAATTATAACAGATACAAGAGTAAACATACAAAATGTCTGTAAAATAATTACTGAAAAATATCAAAATATTCTTAATATTCGTTATATTGCTCATACAATCAACTTAATTTCTAAGGATATATGTAATACTACTTTTGCAAATCAGATTTTTACTCGATGCAACACAATTGTGACTTTTTTTAAAAAAGTTATCAAGATGGTAAGATTTTTATAATTTTTCTTTATTTTATTATAATAAGTATATTACAAAATATTTATTTCAATCTAATAGGTTCAACTTTAAAAAAAGAGGCAGAAAATTATCAAGTAAATGGAGGAGGTTTAAAATGATAGATCAATACTCAATAGTATATTATGTTTAATTGTGTTGATTTTGTTAGGCATCATAAAGAAGTATTAGAAAAGGTAAATATTAAAATTATTATTATTTATATTATATTTTATTAGTTTATATTATTATTAAATTATAAAATTATTTTCTTACTAGTTACAATTTGATTATACAAATCTTCTTCCAATATCACTTTTATCAATTTTATGATCTTGTGTTTTTTTGATGAAGTTTATGCATTAGTATTTGCTTTACATCCTATCAAAAAAGTAATTTTATGATTAGAATCACAAATATGTACACTTGGAGATTATTTTATTGGATTAGCTCAACTTGGAGCTGCTATCAATAAATTATCTCAAAATGATTATCATAATTTTTATCACCAATATATACAATATTTAATAAACGTCATATTGAATTTGATGATCTGATTTACTTATTGTGCTTTTTTCGTATTCAGTTTACAAAGGTAAATTTATTATTTTTTTATTATAATTAATTAATGTCAAATAAATACTTATTAAATTAAAAATATTTTAATCTTATCTTTAGATATTTGCTAGGTATGAGGAACTTTTTGAGAATTCTTATTAACTGCTGATGAAATTTTAAAAAAATAGAAAAGTCAGAGAGTAATTGACGTGAATTAATGTATTAAATAAAATTAATTCGCAAATGTGAAGTTCCATTTGACATTGAATTAAGCAAAAATGAGTTACTAATTCACTGATGGATTTCTATGGAAGATAATTTTTCTGAAGGAAAAGACTATTTAGTATAGCTAATAATTAAACTATTATCAGTAATATTTCATATAGCTGGATATAAGCGAATTTGGTTAAATATTAGCTAGATATATAGTAAAAAGAGAAATCAATTAGAATTAGATAAGATCAAAAATATGTGCAAATTATCATTTTATTATTATGTACACGTAAAACAAGAACTGCCATATTATAGTATAGAAAAAACAAGTAATCAAATTTGTGAAATTTTGGTTAATACACATTTATATTCAGATGAAAATTTTATTGATATTATGGAGGAAGATATTGAAGATATTGATGATAAAGAAATGGATTCATATGGTGAGGAAGATGTTTTGATAATTAGCAGAATTTTGAATTTGAATGCAGAAGCATTTATTAATGATTTAAATGAAATTATTGAAGATAGTAGTTTAGAAGAAAATTCAGTAGAAAAACAAAATAGTATTCAAAATGTAGCTAAACAAGAAAATAAGATCAATATAGAGTGGGATCCAATTGCTGAGACTGATGACATAGTTAATTCTGTGTAATCCTTTAAAGTTTTATTGATACATTTTATACTAATAAATGATTTGTTAAATTATCTTTAAGCAATTTTTATCAATTGTTTTTATTCAATTGTATTATTTATATTTTTGTTTTAAATTTATAACTGCATATTAGTTTTGATACTAATAATTTTTTACTATATTATAATTAAAGAATATGTGATATTAGAGGTAACGAAAGTTTTAGAATATAAAATTTGAGTAAGTTTTGAAAGTTTCGAAGCTTATAAAAATTTGGGCAAGTTTTAAAATTTTGGGCAGGTTTCAAAGCTTACAGATGTTTAGGCAAGAATTTCAGAATTTAATCAAAAAGGTGAAACATTTTGCTAATCAAAAAATGGTTTTGCCCAAAATATTAATGCTTAGAGTTATAAATAATATAAACAAATTGATCTTTTTATTATCACATTAAATAAATATTTTTTGATAAAAATAAGTATTATTAATATATATAAATGTAAAAAAATAGATACTGTAATAGTTTTATTAATTGCATTATAATAATGTAAATACTAGAATGAAATAATTTTTGTTAACAATAGAAGGTTCATATTATTTCTAAAATTAAATTGAGCTTATTGTAATAATTATATATATTCTAATAATATCTTAACTTTTTTGATTAAAAGTAGAACTATGAAAGCTAATAATAATGAAGTCTTTACTTCAAATTAAAATTCATTAATTGTGATTTAATATACTTATCATATATTTATCATAAATTTTATTATTTTTTTTTTTATAATTTTTAAAGTATTAAGAAAATAGCCTCTTTTATTAATGAAAATATCTAGAAATAAGTAATGATTTTAGATTAAGGTTGTTAATCAAATTTGGTAATTATAGGTTATCATTTTCTTGTATAAAATTTACTATTAATCTGATGTAATAAAAGTCCTTATTGTGAACTTTATCAGAAAATTATTATTCAGAATTACTATATCACAAAGATTGATAAGAGATACTTAAGTATCAAATTATATATGTATAGCTTTCAAAAATGAATTATTTCTATTTCAATTTTTGATAGATAATAATAATAAAATGTAGGTAAATAGATAAAGATATGAATTATTTTGTGATAATCAATTAGTAATCTATCTCAAAGTTTCATCATAAGTCAAATCTTATATTATATTATTATGATAATTATTATTATTAAGTTTTAAGTAAATATTTAAAATTCTGCTATATAGTATATATACTCTTATATTTTAGAAATGATTTATTATAATTATTAGGTTTTTATACTTTGAGTACAGATTACTATTTAGAGTTCTTTTTAAAGAATAATATAAGTAAACTGTTAATAAATATTTCCTTTTGTAAAATAAAATAGAAGTGATTTCTTTTAGCATAGGTAAAAGGTAAGAGAAAGAGTATTACATTAACAGTTTTTATAAAATCATATATGAAAATCTTAATTAGATGATGTGACTAGTATTTAGGTAAAAAGATAAATTAACATTCAATATACACTATTATAAAGGATAAGTAATCATAGGATTATAAAAGATTTAACTTACTTTTTTAAAGTATAAAATTTTCCATAATATATACAAATGATTTAAGATTACTGTAATAAGATATTATTTTAAAACTTTTAAAACTTAGTTGATAACTTTTAATATGTTAGTTTTAAAGTTTAATAATTAAATTCAGAGTTAGTTTTTATCAAATTTTAATAAGGTTTCATATTTATTATTGAAAATTTATATATTATAAATTTGATCTATTATTGTAAATTTTTTTCTTAATTAATAAAATTTGAATTTGATTAATTTTTTTTTAAGTTGATTAGTGAATATAATTATATTTAGCAAAAGAGAATCTAAACTAAAAACTTATTTATACATTTTTTTTTTTATTATTTATTATTTATTAATAATAATAATTTTTAAAAAATTTATTTATTTTATTTATTATAAAAGTAAATAAGCATAAATCACATAATACTAGATAAATAATTAGATAATAATATAGATTACAAATAAATAATAAACCTAAAAATATAAATAACTAAAATCATAGAAAAAAGAATAGTTAAAGAATATTTAGAATAAAGAAAAAAAAGGAAGACAATTTATAAATATATATAAAGATTATATAAAGGTTTAGATAAAAAACTAATAAGATAAGATCATAATATACTTGTATAACTTTTTATTAAAAAGAAAATTATTAAAAATAATAAAAAAGAAATATGAATACTTATGTGAATATTGAAAGAAAGCTTAATTTATTAAGTAAAATTTGAAAAATGAGAAGAAATAAAAAATTAATTATTGAAAATTAAAGAAGAAAGTAGAAATATCTAAAAATAGAAATAATATAATAATAATATTATAAAGAATATATAATGATAATATGTAATTAAATACGTAATAACTTTTAGAATAAAAAATAAAAACAAAAACAAAAAAATAAGAAAGGAAGATTTAAGAAAATTAGAATAGAAATAAAAGTTAAAAATAAAAGTTAAAATAGAAATTAGAATTCATAATTAGAAGAAATATTATTAAATCTATAATATAATGTTAGAAATATTAATAAAGAAATGATATAATATTAGAAAATAATAATAAATTATAATATAATAATAAAAATTATTGATGAAAGAAATAAAATTAAAGATCATAAGAAAACAATAAGAATTAGAATTACTAGTAAACAAAATAGAAATTATAAATATTAGAAAATAATATGAATTTAAAGAAATTGATTAACATTAAATTTTATATAAATAGAGATAGAAATCTTAATTTGTAAATTAGTTCTTTCTGCTAATTACCAAAAATGCTAGAAAAAAATCAAAAATCTAACAACCCTAGTCGCTTTGCATTACCAGTTAAAAAAAAACTACTATCACAAAAAGACAGAATACCATTCAAACAACTGAATAACAAGCTGCTGCTGAAAGTTCTAATATTACACAACCTCCTGTAATCATTATGAAAGTTGATCAAACATCTGAAATTACACCTTCGCCTCTTGATAAAGAGAAAAATAAAGAAACTGATACAGTCATTGAAATCTCAACCAGTAACAAAAAAGATGAAATGAACGTAGATGGTCCTTATAATGCGTCTGAAAATACTATCAATACTACTTTAGTCATTTTCGCTATGCCTCTCCTCAATGCTGAAAAATTTTTCACGTATTTTTCGCTTGAAAAATACCCTAGAGTGAACCCCCAACAAAAGATCGCTAAAATTACTGACAAATATTATTTTAACTATGCTTCCTTTGCTGGAGTCATACGTGAAAAACTTTCTACTAATCCTTCAATCAACATTCTCAAAATTGCCTTTTTAGACTTTAACAAACGTGATGATCTTTATAAAGTATAGATTTCTAATATAAACAAAGCTACGTTTCTACTCCTAGTTGTACAAAAATTGCACCTGTTTGTACTTGCATAATCGATAACAGTAACTGAGATCCCGTTGAATTTTACGGTTACATAAATTAAAAAATTTTTTTCCTATTATAGAAATATTGTACATTGCATTATAGAAACTAGAAACTTGTGACAACGCGTTACCATCACCTTTAACGAAAAAGCTAAATTTGATTTTTTTTGAGCAACTGATGGATTGCTTATTATCAATGACTCTGTTTGTATTCATATGTGTGACCAGAATAGAAAAAAAATCTAAGATCGTTCCAAATTCTCAAAAAAACTAACTAATTTTCCACAAAGTATCACAGCATGTGAATTCCTTGACATTGATAAGATGGTTAACGCTACTGCTTAGATTATTTTGCGAGCAAGATCAAACTATAATTATTTACAATATACGTACTTCTATTTTTGAAGCTAATGTCGCAATTGTGAAAGACAAACTCATACTTAATAATAAAAAACTCAAATAGACTAATGCAAAAACTAAACTATATGCTATTTGTTTATCAACATATCATAACGCGTCTTTATGCCCCAGAAAATGAAATACTTCAAAAGACAAAAACACTCAATATCTATACCAAAGGTTTTAATCAGCCTAATTTAATAGATATACTGCACCTAAAAAATCTCATGATGTTGTCAAAGATAACATTACATTTGTTAACGTTATTAATCTTTCAAGCTCTAATATCAGATGACTGCAAACTCAAAATAAACGACCTTTCCCCCTCCTTCTTCACTAAAAAAGCCTAATACCACTTTAAATAAAGTTACTAAAAAACCACCTGTCTTAAGGTGGGAGGATGAGCCAATGGATGATGATACTACTTTTGACAATATAGTGTATCCTACTCTAAATATTAAAAATGCAACAGCAGCAGGTAGATCAATATACATCCCTGATTTTAAGAAATTCATCACATCTCAACTTGAATCTATTGTTAATACCCTTAGTAATTTTTGTTCTGCTTTTAAGTTTTCGCAATCTCATTTTGAAGTAGTTAAAAAGGTACTGAATATTAATGTTACAACTCTCAAGAAGCTGAATCGTTTAACAATACACTCCCAGATACTGCTACTGAAGTAGACATAAAATCTCCATTTATTGATACATCACTTTATATTACTCACTTACAGACAAAAACTAATGAACAATTCATTGATATTTGCCAAAAAAACAACAACAGCGAAACTCTGAATTCACTTTAACAATTAACAAGCTACTCAAAACTTGTCAAAACTTCCAAACTGTGCTCATTAACAAAAATCTCATCAGCTAATTTGATACACAAGTTTTTACCTATTTGAATGAAGATTTTGACAAAATGACAGAACACTACATCGGCAGCTTCTCACAATAAATAACATATATTATGAATACTATCTCTACTGATATTTTAACAAAACCTAATGATATTTCCAATATTATTAAAACAAAAAATTTTCCATAGCCTCACACAATGTTAGAAAATTTAATGAGCCTACCAAACAAAACATCCTTTTTTTACTTTATGAAATACATCATTATGATATATTGGCTTTACAAGAAACTAATTTTAAATACAATAATGCTTCAATTTTTAATTGATCTTTTTCAAATTTTCTAACAATTTTTAGTAAAAACTGTGATAGTCAGTCTTGTGGATTTGGAATCAGTTTATCTTTTAGTCCTCAACTCTTTAAACATATTTTTAACACGAATCTAAACTTGATAGAGTCATTTATGCAAAGTTACAATTTCTTGACAAACAAAAACTTATTATTATTAACATATACGTTTTCTCAGAAAAATCTAAAAAAAAAATTACTAAGCAAGTCTTAACATGCGTTAAACATCTTCTTAATGATGCTATTAAAAATGATTATCATATTATTCTTCTTGGAGATTTTAATGCGAATATAGACCGTACGAAAAATAATTCACCCTGAACTATTTTATTTATTAATCTATTAAATTATTATAATCTTTTCGATTACTTTGTCATTAAATAATTATCAAGAATTAATTATATTTGGATGACACCTAAACTAGTGCTTAATATACTTGATACTGATGTACTACCTATTGACACACAAATTTCTGATCATTATGTCACCACTATTAACTATTCTAACTTTTTACAAATCAATTCTAATAATCATAATTGTCCTACTAAATCTTTTTTTAATTTTAACAAAATGGACTTAAAGAAATGGATACAATTCAGAGACAAATTAGATCACACCATAAATAGTTGTGCTCTTAGAAATGCTTCTGTCTCTATAACATAGTCTCAATCCACTTTGAACAAATATTGGGATTTGTTTCAAAATACATTAATCTCATTTGCAAACAAATATATTCCTGTTAGCAAATCTAAAATTCATTGACTGTCCAAATAACTAATCACCCTATTCACTTTATATAGTAACATTAAAATATTACAGAAATTTTCTAAATCTCATAAAAATATTTTAAAAATAACCTTATCTCTCTAAAATGATTTAACCTTCATGACAAATTCCTTGAAATTGCTCAAGATTGTTTTCTATGTATTATCTCAATAAGGCTCTTTTCTAATAATGTTTATATTAAATCATCACTAATTGACGCACAATTATTAGTAGCTTGTTTACAAATGAAGGCTAAACTTAAAGAATATGAATTTAAACTTTTAATCATATAACAAGTACTTCATGACAGAATTGACAATTACAAAACTGATCTGAAAAAAATAATAGATTCTATCTTAAATAGAAAAAGAAAACTCATCATCCTAGATAGATGTCTCAATAACACAAGTTTCTCATTTGATTTACTTACAGATGAAACAGATGTTCGAAGGAAAGTTGCCTGATATTTTTAGCAGGTAACTGATACAATTCATGAAGATAAGTCAATCCTAGAAGAATGAACATCAACCTATTAACCTATATCTAAAATTGATTCGTTAATTTACAATCATCTTATTTTAATACTGACAGCGGACGAATGGTATAAAATTATAGATCAACTTTTGAATAATAAGGCTCATAGCCCCTTAAAGATATCTAATGAAATGTTAAACATCTTGGCCCTTAGGAAAAAAGTATTTTGGTACATTATTTATGAATGTCTTTGGATATTCTCAATTCCATCAAGATGGAATATGGCCTATGTTTACCTAATTCTAAAACTAAAACTATGACAATTTGATCTAAATAATACTAGACCTATAAAATTATTAGAATGTTTAAAAAAAGCTTTCACAAAACTTCTGAATGCCCAATTGGCTTCTCTTTTTACCAGATATAATATATTAAAAGGTTTTAACTTTACTGGACTTCTTTTCAAATTAACATTTGATCTTATTTATATAATTAATCATATTAAACAAGATGCCTTATTTAATAATTAAGAACTTTGGATGCTCCTTCAGAATATATCTAAAGTTTATGATCGTGTTAATGTCTTTACATTAGTCAAAGCCCTTAAACAACTTAAAATTCTGTACTTGTTTATCTGAATCATTATAAGGATTTTTATATCCCATTTTAACCAAGTTTTCATAGTACATAGAAATACTAATACATATTTAGTTCACTCAGAGATCGACCAAGAAGAAGTAATTTCACTACTTTTGTGATGCATTTATTATGACCTGCTTCAGTGTAGAATTAATGATTCACCTTATAGTTACAATATAAACGTATAATGACATCCTGATGTCCGTTTCACTCAAACCACATCTCGCCAATGTAAAATTCCTGCTTTAGCATTTATGAATGACACTTTATAGGTGGCTAAATCCAGAGAGAATTTATCATGCATCACTTCAATTACTAATAGTTTTTTTAACTTCAATGATATATAAGTTAATTGGTCAAAATCAGAACTATTAGTTAATACTTATTAATCATAACCTTTTATTATCTAACATAATTAATAACATTATGAACTCATCCCTCATTACCCAAATGATAACATTAAATATCTGAGTGTATGGATATCCTTACGACCTAATAACAACTTTATTGTGAAATAACTGCATGCTAAAATTATAAATGCTATCACCATTATGAAAAACAAAGGTTAACTGATTTACAAATAATCTATATCTATAACATAGTAATCCTCTCAAGAATTAAATATAGATCCTAATTAACACTCCTATCAGAAGCTCAATGCAAAATATTAACAGCCACATTTATTGCATTTTTGAAAAGAAAACTCAAGCTCTCGCGAATTACTCCTACTGATCTGTTTAACTTACATTATTTTTATGTCATCCTGCTGCAACAACAACTTCTCTAATATTTCAGTTCAGCTCTCTTACAAATGACTAATAAAACTGATCTTTTGGAACTAACATTTCTCATAAAAATTAAATAACTACAAATCAAAGAATAGTTACACAAGAGCTCTTTGATCTTTTAACCTTATGATACAACATAAAAAAATAATGATTGGCTTTCATCTGCTTTATATAATATAAATGCTTGAACATCTCCTTAAATGTTCCCTTTATATTTTATTAAAATATAGCAGGTGGTACCTATACTATCCATGAACTTATTCTAACTAATTATAGAGCTTTCATCAGAGACCTTCATCAATGCTCAGTCATTTATGTTAAACAATTATTTAACTATAATAGTAACTACACGTTAATGTATAGTGATCTCTATATCATTACTAATACTGAGAAAAGACTATATACGATACCTAAATGGTTCACAACTATTGAGAGTTTACTGTCAATAAATAATTATAGAATGCTTTTACCAATGAATAGTTTTAAACATAATCACTGTTACAGTTATATTATTCAACCACTCAAACATAAACTTAGAACTTACAATTATATTGTTGGATGAGATTTTACTACCAAATCATTCATTATTAGTTATCTTACCTATCTTAATGACAATACTATACATATTAAATACTGCTTACCATTAGTAGGCCCTCATCACTATACCATATTTAAAGATTATAATTGTTGCTCTCTATATCATGAAAATGTACAGAAGTTAAGTTCTAATTTTTATAAGTGTTTTATCATACTACCTTATAGTCTTTGTACTTCAATTCCTATTAAATTCAAGGATAAATATGTGAATGTTCTTCACACAGTTCTTCAATTGAAGCTCTACATAAACTCGCACTAACTAGATTTTTTTCTAATTTTAACCTTCGTTTATCATTATTTCACAACCTTTTGTCTCATAGTTACCTATTAATTTCTTGGATAAATATGTTTTTCTACCTTACAATGCCTAATTACAGAATTTTACTCATCAGTTATTAACTCCACTACTTTAGAATTTTATACAGATAGCTTTCTTTGAGACCTTAGCACCTCATTTATTAAAATGAGTCTGGTGCAGTGTGTAAAATTCATGTACACAATATGCACATGTGCACATTAAATTTTTGTGTGCACATATTACACAGCATAAAATGTATACAAATAATTACTAAAAATAGATAAATTATATATAAAAATGGATAAATTATTTATAAAAATGGAAATACTATGTAATACATGCATTAATTTTCTATTTTTAGTACAACTTGTGCACATGACTTTTGGTCTAAATTTTATACACTGGTCTGGTGTAGTTACAAACTCATCCTAATTTACCAATGTGTTCCTTTGTTACATCTTTTATTACTGGTTTTTCATCAATTTCACTTTCTAAATTCACAGCAGTTTTCTCAGCTTTAATTACTGCA